TTATTAAGGCTTTATAGAGTGGTATTAGTACCTCCCTTGATCTTGATTGTATCCCTCTGTTAATGCAGTTTAGGATTGCATTGGCTTTTTTGGCTGCCGACGCACACGGCTGGCTCATATTGAACTGGTTGTCCACTAAGACTCCAAGATCCCTCTCCCAGTCACTGCTATTAAGCCAGGTTTCACCCAGTCTACATATGTACTTTTGTTTTTTCTTGCCTAAGTGTAAGACTTTATTTTTCTCTACACTGAATTTCATTTTGTTAGATAGGGCCCAGTGTTTCTATTCCCTCATCCCTCAGGCCTAGGTTTCAAGTCTGTTGTAACTTCGAACGGTCACTAAACTAAAAGTTGTAAGTCCAGGACTACCTGTGCACCAGTGGTAGGATTCAAATTTTTTTTTTACTACCGGTTCTGTGGGCATGGCTTGGTGGACGTGGCAGGGGAAGGATACTGTAAAATCCCTATTTCCTTCCGATCAGCTGGGACTCGGGAGGCAGAGAATAGATGGAGGCAGGGCCAGTCAGAGGTGGTATTTACCGGTTTTCCGAACTACTCAAAATTTCTGCTACCGGGTCTCCAGAACTGGTCAGAACCTGCTGAAACCCACCTCTGCTGTGCACATAAAATAAAGAGAGAAGGATGTAATAAGGAGAACACTGCCAGGGCTGCTGAAGGAAAAGATTTGTCGGGTTTACTGCATTCTGCAAAGCAATAAGTATTCCGGATAACATTTGCACTTTACCATCTGGCTAATCTCGCAATTTGAAGGGCTTCAGGTGCTTGCCTTGCACCCAAGGATGATTTAGGACCTCTTCGACGCGTAGTCGGTGAGAAACGTCCGGCTGAAGCATGTGGAAAATCAGATCTTTGCATTCCAGGCTCAGAAATTCGGGGAAAAGGATCCGGTGCTCCTTCTGCAGACGGAGCATCCGTTTGACGTTCGAATCGTCGTAAGGCATGAATCCGGAGACCATGACGTAGAGGATCACCCCTAAGCTCCACATGTCGTAAACTTTGGGGTGATAAGGAATCCCCTGGATCACCTCCGGTGCAGCGTAAGCCGCCGAGCCGCAAAACGTCTCGCTGGGTAAGATTTTACCGTTCGCGTCTCGGAAACACCGCTTGGAAAAGCCGAAATCCGACAGTTTGACGTTCATATCCTTGTCGAGAAGGATATTGTCGCACTTCAGGTCGCGGTGGACCACGTCTAAGTCGTGGCAATATTTGACCGCACAACACAGCTGGCGGAACATCCGGCATGCCACTTCTTCGGGCAGTCCCCGGTTGCTCTTAATAAACTCTAATAAATCTCCCTGGACGCCAAGTTCCATGACAATGTAGACTTTCCCAGCCGTCTCGAAAATCTCGTAGATTTTGATGATGGAGCAGTGGTTCACGGTCGACAAGATCTCCAGCTCCCGAGGGAGAAATTTCTCCAGGAACTCGTTGGGGACTTTCCTCCTGTCGGTGATTTTCACCGCCACGTTGATTTTCAGGCGCTCCGAGTAAGCCGACTTCACTTTGGCGAAGGAACTCTCGCCCAAGGTATTCCCCAAAATATAACCTTTTTTCTTAAGCACAGCAGCATCGTCCATGATGCCAAGGGTGGGGCGTGCCAACCTCCCATCTGAACTGTCATTTAGTGGCACATTGCTTGAGGTGGGAGGAGGGCTATCTGAAGGGGCTCCAGGCTAGGCTGGGCTCAGGTCTCCCAGCAGTGTTTTGAAAGAGCTGAGGTCATCAGGTGACATCATAAGAGCAACACTGGAAAGATGTTATTAAGGGGCTTGGAGAGGGAGACACACAAGGATGGCACGTGGCCCTCCACGAAACAAGTGGAACCCACAGCCTTGCGAGTAGAACGGTTGCTGGAATTGGGTATGTCTAGTTTAATGAAAAGAAGGACTGGGCGGGAGACAGGATAATCGTCTCCCAGTATTTGAGAGGCTGCCCCAAAGAAGAAGGCCCCAGAAGGCAAGGACAAGAAGCAATGGATGGAGACTAACCAAAGGAGAGAAGCAACCTGGAATTAAGGAGAAACTTCCTAACTGTGAGGACAATTAACCAGTGGAACGACTTGCCACCAGAAGTTGTGGGTGCTCCAACACTGGAGGTTTTTAAGAAAAGATTGGACAGGCGCTGGTATAGGGTCTCCTGCTTAAACGGGGTCAGACTGGAAGACCTCCAAGGTCCCTTCCAGCTCTATTCTGATTGAACCTATGTTCCCGTAATATTCCTGCAACTGAGTGCCAGAAGTGGGTTTGCTGTTTTTGACTGCTCACTCTCTCTACATTTAACCAGAGATAAGACACTGATTATAATTATAGTGAGCTGCTCTCCAAAGGAGAGTTGGACAACCTATTCTCCAAAGAGATTGGACAGCCATTTCTCCGGGATGATATAGTGTGTCCCCTGTTCGAGCAGGGGGTTGGACTAGAAGACCTCCGAGGTCCCTTCCAACTCGGGTCATGAAACGTCTGCAAGAAAACCGCCAAGCTCAGAGAGCACTGAGGATCTCGTAGTTCAACCCGGAGCTGTACATATTCTCTTCTATCGGCCCTCAAGGTGATTTTATTGTTAGAATGAGTTAGAATCTCCGCAGCGGAAGAGAAACAGAGACCTGAAAATGCGAATGACTGAAAACGAAATTTGTTTTAAATTTTGAAACAAAATATTTCGTGAGAAAGAGGAATAAAATTTCAAGCTGTGGCATGATTTCTTTCACACTTATTAATCCAGAGTTCTGGAAACTTGGTGAATTGCTTTAAAACACTAGAGAGAGAAATACATTGTAAAAACAGGTGGGAAAACAGTGGCATTTCTGTTAGTTTTTGGGTTTTTTCCAAAGGAGTTAATATATATCATGTTTCCTTACTAGAGAATAAGAAGGCATTCCCCAAACCCAATTCCATCAAATAAGAAATACGTTAGGAAGAGGAATTCAGCGAAAACACTCAATTTTTTTTTTTTTCCTGGCGGGAAAGGCACCAATAAAAATATTTAAGAAGACATGACTGCTCGGGAATTGGGCAGGGAAATAAATATAAGAATAAACATTGCTAATGAAATAACCTTAATACATGATTTGGATTCTGCCTGATTAAAAGTTTTGGCATTTCCTTCATCAGTTTGTTGACGAATCACTTTATAAGTAGTCTTTGACTTGCAACCATCCGTTTAGTGACTGTCTGTTACAGTGGCACTGGAAAAAAAGTGATTTATATCTATTTTTCACACCTACAACCATTGCGGCATTCCCATGGTCACATGATCAAAATTTGGATGCTTGGCAACTGTTTATATTTATACTGTTTATACTGTTCATATTTATGACGGTCACAGTGTCATCGGGGGGGAGTAGTGCGGTGGCCTAGAGATGGAGGTCTTGCCTCACAATCAGGAAGCTGTGAGTTCGATCCTAGGTAGAGGCAGATCTATCTATCTCTGGGCACAATGAGAATTTATATGCTGAACAAAACTCCGCATTGGCGACAGGAAAGGTATCCGGCCATGAAAACACTCAGCTAGCTCTATTCAGTTGCCCAGACTCCACACCGCAAGGGATTATGGGGTTGTTACATGAAGATGATGACAGTGTCATCGGAGGGTCAGGTGATCCCCTTGAGTGACCCTCCTGACAAGCATAGTCCACGGGGAAGCCGGATTCACTTAATGACCACTTGAACCAGTTAGTAATTTAACTTGTTGGTCGATTCAAAGCGATTCCTTCCCCTGCTTAAAGCGATTTGCTGCACCGCTGTGTCAAGAGAGGTCGTAAAACGGGTCAGAACTCACTTAACCACCGTCTCGCTTAAGCAACAAGAAATCTAGGTTCAACTATGGCCAAGTTGAGACGCATTAGAGACATTCTCTTTGAAATACGGGATTGGAACCTACACCCAGACAGCTTCTTTATTTATTTTTCTTTTTTTTTTCTGTAATAAAAAAGCTTTTTATTCATTTATTTATTTATTTTTCAAAATATAAACCTTCCCTCTTCCCTTCTGTGCAACAATCTTCAGCGTTTACAACATCGTTCACGTTAATACCTAGGCACAGCTTTATTATTATTATTATTATTATTATTATTAGTTAATCTTTAGTGAGATTCACAGCCTTTGATGCTGGTTAATAGCTCAGCAGCTCGAGTCCTAACCAAGGACCTAGGAACTGTTAAGGTATCGTCGGAGGATGTAAGCTGTTCCGAGTAAGGTGGTTTTTTGTAGAGTCAAAATGTTCAAGTCCGGCAAATTTAGAATTTCTAAATAGTGGGGTAGCCCTTTGGGTATTGCTATTATTATTATTATTATTATTATTATTATTATTATTATTATTATTTAATCTTTAGTGAGATTCACAGCCTTTGATGCTGGTTAATAGCTCAGCAGCTCGAGTCCTAACCAAGGACCTGGGAACTGTTAAGGTATCGTCGGAGGATGTTATTTTTAATATTTTTATTTTTATTTTATTTTATTTTATTTTATTTTATTTTATTTTATTTTATTTTATTTTATTTTATTTATTTATTTTTATTTTATTTAATATTTTTAATAATGTTGTTGTTGTTGTTATTATTATTATTATTATGATGCTAGTTTTCATCCCGGCCAACGGGCGGTGGAAAGTCCTCGCGTGAACGACCTCAGGATTTCCCTCGCCTTCTGCTGTTACGACGGGAGGAGGAGCCAGAGAGAGAGAGAGAGAGAAGAAAAAAGCTTCGATGACCACGCCCAGCGCCGCCGCCGCTGCTGCGCGCGCCGCCTCCTTCGCCACGCGCCTATGCAAATGTAACCCCGCCCTCCTTCCCGGCTGATCCTCCTCCGCCCACCCACCCACCCCCACTCCCGGAGGCCGCCGATTGGCCGCGCGGCGGAGTGGGCGTGGCGCGGCGGCCGGGAGCGGCGGGGCGATGCGTCCGCCATCTTGCGAGCGGAGCTGCGGGCGGGCGGACCCCCCTCAGCGAGGCGGCGGCGGCGGCGGCGGCGGCTGAGGAGGCGGCTGAGGAGAAGGGGAGGAGGCGGCGGAGGCCTCGCGGGCTCCCCGAGGCGGCATCGTCGACGTCGTCGTCGTTGTTATCGGCGGCCCTCCCCCTTTGTCTTCTCTCTCCCCCCCCCCGCCCCGTCCCGCGGGGTTGATGTGGCTGCGCTGGGGGAGAAGGATGAACGGAGGATAAATGGTGCCCAAGGCGGACAGCGGCACCTTCCTCCTCCTCTTCCTCCTCGTGCTCAGCATCACCGAGCCGCTGCGGCCAGGTACGGTCGGTGTGTGTGGGGGGGGCGGGGGAAGAAGTGGGTGGGGGGCCATTGGGAAAGCCGGGAACTACATCGCCCATCATCCTCAGCTCTCAAGGGAGGCCATGAAGGAACAGCCCCCCCCCCACTCCCTTTGGATCTGTCCCCAGCCGCTGCCCTGAGGGGCTTTTTGGGTGTTGGGGACCCCAGATGCTCTCTCCTCTCCTCTCCCTCAGACCACTTTGTACTACATCGCCCATCATCCTCAGCTCTCAAGGGAGGCCATGAAGGAACACCCCCCACCCCTTTGGATCTGTCCCCAGCCGCTGCCCTGAGGGCTTTTTGGGTGTTGGGGACCCCAGATGCTCTCTCCTCTCCCTCAGACCACGTTGTACTACATTGCCCATCATCCTCAGCTCTCAAGGGAGGCCATGAAGGAACACCCCGCCCACCCCTTTGGATCTGTCCCCTGAGGGGCTTTTGGGTGTTGGGGACCCCAGACACTTTCTCCTGCCCTCCACAGCCCACTGTGTACTACATTGCCCATCATCCTCAGGTCTCAAGGGAGGCCAGCTGGCCTTTCCATGAAGGACCCCCCCCCCCCCACCACCACTTTGGATCTGTCTCATAATCTGCAGCCGCTCCCCTGAGGGGCTTTTGGGTGTTGGGGACCCCAGGTGCGCTCTCCTCCCACCCCACTTTGTATTACATTGCCCACAAGCCACCCCCTGCTTTTCAGATGAATCCTTGCTCTTTCTTATTACCCTGTAGAGAGTTAGGACTACATTGCCCACGCGCCTAAGGTCTTCCAGCTTCCTTGGTCCTTGTTTCCAGGGCCTCTCAGCGCTCCCCTGAGGGGGGGGTCTTTTGGGTGTTGGGGACCCCAGATGCTCTCTCTCCTCCCCCCCAGCCAATTTCGGATTACATTGCCCATAAGCCACTCCCTGCCGTTCAGATGGATCCTTGCTCCTATCAGCCTCTTGAAAGTTAGGACTACATTGCCCATGCGCCCAAGGTCCTCCAGTTTTGTTGGTCCTTGCTTCCAGTGCCTCCCACAATCCCCACAACTTGGGGGGGGGCTTCCAGATATTGGGGACCGCAGATGCTTTTTCCTCCCCCCACCCCACCTTGTATTACATTGTCCATAAGCCACCCCTTTCCTTTGGATGGATCCTTGCTCCTATCGCCCTCTCTATAGAGAGGTAGGACTACATTGCCCATGCGTCCAAGGTCCTCCAGCTTCCTTGGTCCCTGTTTCCAGTGCCTCCCAGCGCTCCCCTGAGGGGCTTTTGGGTTTTTTGGGGGGGGCACAGCTGTTGTCTCCATCTCCTCCCCCCTCACTTTGTATTACATTGCTCATAAGCCACCCTCCTGCCCTTCAAGATGGACCCTTGCTCCTATCACCCTCTAGAGAGGTAGGACTACATTGCCCATGTGTCCAAAGTCCCCCAGCTTCCTTGGTCCTTGCTTCTCCTCCCAGCTTCTCCCCCCCACCCCATTTATTCCCCACCCCCCCTTGGATAAGACAAGGGTCTCACTGGTAGGATCTAGATTAGAGATCTTGCTGAGGAAGGGTCTTTTCCGTAGAGACTTCAGGATAACGGGGACACATCAAGATGAGAAGATTGCCTGGAATCCAGTGGATTCTGCAGGCACTTGGAGTTTGGAGGACTTCATTTGGGAGCATTTTTAATGGGATCACTTTTGGGGGTGACTCCTTTTGGGGCGCGAGAAGGACCTCTTCATCCTCCTAGAAGTGGGATGATGGGATGGTAAGAGACATTTATTTTAGCATATGGGGCCTGCACCAAGTAGCAACGGCATTGTCGTCTTCTACAAGGACCGGACGAATAAATATCTAGAACTTTTTTGCTGATCTTCTGGGAAAATCCTAACTTGTGTTTCCGTAGCGTGTGGTTATCCCGGCTCGCGAACAATTTTTGCAGCTCGGTTTTCGCACAACCTGCTAAGTTTTGGGTTGGGTTTTGTTCTGTTTAGCTAGCAAAGCAAATTGTGTGAAGCCGGAATCGTCTGGTTAATTTCCCGATGTGGTGTATTGTGCAAGGCTAGAAAATGTATTAATTCGCTAAGAAGATTAAGGGTATGCAGGCCAGCCCTTGAGTATTTGGATTAAGGGGGCTGTCTTTAACCCTTTTCATTGTTTCCCCAGCAACTGTTGAAGTAAATTGCAAATATTTGGGCGATGGGGTTGTCCCAGTTGGCTTGAAACACTGAAGTAGAAATTCTCATTTAAGAATAGGAGCTGTTTGTGGCACCCTAGAAATTATTGAGCATTGCTTACTGGGGAAAAGACAGCTGGATTGTGCATCAAAGCTTTAGCAATGTGGGTGTGTTCCTGGGTTATTCAAAACCATCTCATTTGAGGCATTAGCATGTTTGAATCAGTCTTGCATCTATGGATCTTGCAAAAATTGGGCTTGCCCAGTTACCGAAACAATAGATGTGGTTTGCTATCTACAATGTTTGCAATTACAAGCTTTTGAAAAGAAGCTGGGAAGAAGTCCTTGAAAAGAAAATGTCTCCTTTAAAAAAAAACAAACAAACATAGGAAAAGGGAAAGATTATCTAAGGAGTTTGAATATGTCAAGATTGGAACGTGTACCGAGAAATGTCAGCTTTCAACTGCCCAGATGAAGAGAGTTTCAGAAATTCAGTACTTGGGCCATAAAAATGGACGAAGAATTTTTTTATGTAACGTAGGGGAAAAAAAAAAAAGAGAGAAGTTGATCTGGAAGATTTACAGTTCTTAAAAGAAAAGGAGAACTGAAATAACATTCAGGAATAAGAATAGAGAAGTCTTGGGAATGATTTTGAGGGCTTTGGGGACTGCTTAAAAAGAAAACTTTCCAGAAGTGTCCTTGAGTTAGGGAGAGCAAAGCAGCAACAAGTTGCCTAAGTTTTTTGTGATTTTGCGATTGTCTGTGTTTAACTTTCTGTTATCTTTTGGCTGCCACAGGTTTCTTAGTGATTTCATTCTGAGAGATTTCTTATTGACCCCCTCAGGCCAAAAAATAAAAAATAATAATTGACCTCACAGGGAGAAATGAGCCATGTGTTTGCTCTGTGTGTGTGTGTGTGTGTGTGTGTAGGTCATACTAACCCCTGTGGTAGAAGGTGTTCCTGTTCCTGATGCGTTGAGAGCGAGAGAGAGAGTCCAGAAAGCTTGTAATGATTTGTCCTCAAGCTGAGTCTCTCCAAGCCACCCATTTGTGTAAAGTCTCTGGGCGGCTTACAAGGATTAAAACAACAATATAAACAGTGTGGGAGAACACAGGCAGTGCTGTGTTGAGGGTGCGGGTAGGGGGAACATAATTATGAACAACAGTGCAGACAGATTTCAGTGGTGGCTTCATTGAATGCCCCGTTTCTAGTGTTTTAGGAAAGGTTTTGGCACTCGCTTGAAGAACGGTAGGATCAGACAGGTATGATGAATACGAGGATGGGGTTAGTATTGCTCTAGAGCTGGGGGTCTCCAAACTTAGCCACGTTAAGACTAGGGGACTTCAATTCCCCTGAATTCTCCAGCCATTCTGGGAGTTGAAGTCCACAGATCTTAAAAGTAGCCAAAGTTGGGACAACCATGCTCTAGAACCATGATGGCGAACCTATGGCACACGTGCCGGAAGTGGCACGCAGAGCCATCTCTCTGGGCACACGAGCTGTCGCCCGTTGCTCTTCCGGGTTATGGCGTGCTGGCCAGCTGTCTTCACGAGTGCGGGAACGCCGGAAACTGGAAGAGCAGCTACCCGATGCGCATGTGCGCGTAGGGAAGGTGATCTTCCGGTTTCCGGTGCACACATGTGCACTGGCCATCTGGTCTTCTGGTTTCTGGGCCGCATGCGTGCGCAAAGACAGCTGGCCAGTGCGCATGTGTGCCGGAAAATGAAAGATCATCTTCCCGGCATATGCATGCACACTAGATGGCTGCTTTTCTGGTTTCCGGCATGCATGCGCTCCCATTTCGGCACTCAGTGCCAAAAAGGTTCACCAACATTGCTCTAGAACCGTGATGGCGAACCTATGGCACGTGTGCCACAGTGGCACGCGGAGCCATATCAATAGGCACGCAAGCGTTGCCCTAGCTCAGCTCCGGCATGCATGCGCATGCTCGCCAGCTGATTTTCGGGCTTTCTGGGCCCACCAGAAGTCGGGAAACAGGCTGTTTTCAGCCTCCGGAGGGCCTCCTGGGGGGTGGGGAATACCATTTTCGCCCTACCCAGGCTCCTAGAATGGCCCTGGAGCCTGGGGAGGGTGAAAAACAGGCCTAACGCGCCCACTGGGCCAAAAGCTATCCATCCATCCATCCATCCATCCATAATATCTATCTGTCTGTCTGTCTGTCTGTCTGTCTGTCTGTCTGTCTGTCTGTCTGTCTGTCTGTCTATCTATCTATCTATCTATCTATCTATCTATCCATCCATCCATCCATCCATCCATCCACCCACCCACCCACCCATCCTCTCTCTCTCGCTCATTCTCTCTCTCTCTCAAACCTTTTTTGTAATTAATTTATCAGTAGCACACACATTGGAATGCGATAGGGCTGTGTCGTAAATGCATTTTTTGGCCTGATCGTGAACTTAAGGAAGTGGGGGGGAAGAAGAAAATCCAGAAGTTAAGGATAACTTTTTTTAAAAAAATCATCTGCTTTGTGAAACTATTTTTTGCCATATATATAACCTGGCTGCCAGTCGGATTTAACAGGACTGCAGCTCTCTTGTAAACAAGAATCCCGGATAGGATTTGAAGGATGAGCTTATCCAGAGCAAGTTGGCTCTTGTTGGTTGATGTAATCCTGTGCTTTTGTGTAACATTTAAGAACCTAATAGTAACATTAAACTTCTTTCGAACATGCCTTAGTTTGCTTTTGAAGATTATCTCAGAGGCTGCTATTACTGTTACATTGTTACCCGCTTCTTTTGTATCTTTCTTTTCTTGTTTTTGTTTGTTTTGAAAAGTTGATCTTTTTTAAAAAAACAACATCTTTTGCACAAGAAACC